GTTCCCACTTTGGAGAAGTCCAAGTAGCCTCAGTGCTTGGGTGCTACAGTCATGTTCACTTTGCCTGTGTGCACTGTTGAATCCAAAGGAAGCTGAGCTCGGGGAACAGAGTGATTTTTCTCTCTGCTGTTACAATAGCAGATTTGACCAATTACACAATGATATAATAGCTTGAGTCTTTATAGCAATAGTGTTAGGGGAAGATAAATATGTGTCAAAGAACTGAAGAGCCAAGTCTTTGATTTTGCCTTAAGGTTGCTTTGGCAACATGCTTGTGCCTTCTGGCCTTTGTATTTCTAGGCACAGCTCAAATCCACAAAAGTTGCAGGTGAGCAACAAAGCGAAGAAATGATCATTTGAAATGCTTAGATATGGCAGTTATTTTTTGAGAAAGAGATGTTTATGGCAGGTTTTTAGCAGGTTCGGGTTTGGTGTTCTTATGCCCACTGATGGAGTGGATTCTGCTTTGTTGTCTGTCAGCTTTCAAGAACCCCATTGAAACTGATACTGTTCATCTCCTGAAAGCAGAGTTTATAGTTATTTCTGTTATTTCAAGAATAAGAATATGTATGCGATTTTTTGATTAGTACCCAAGGTTAACATTTGTAGTAGTGTTAGTTAGGACACAATTTTAATTTCCTATTGTACTCCTTGGAAGTTGGCTCTATACCTCCTCTCCAAGATTTCCTCAGGGCTAAAACTTAACTAATAAGACATCAGAAGAAATTGGGCTTTGATTTGTTATTTAAAAGTATCTTTCAGAAATGTCCCTTTGGCCGTTTCTACTATTTCAGAGCTGGAAATCAACACATTACATAGTTGGTATGAGCATGCAGCAGGTTCTCTGTGACCTTTTGTAACTGATCATGTGTCGAAGGACCTGAAGGTCCCCCAGTCCCCTTTATTCTTTCTTTGCAGTCATTATTGCTATTCCCCAAGCTCCAGCCTGGGCTATCATCCTTAGCAGTCTGAGTGTATCTGTATATTTTCTGATGTCAGCTGTGATGACTCAGGGAGATGGTTGCTTGGTGAAGAAACGGGTGATTTTCTGCAGTAATGGAGAGAAATGTGCTTTTATCGTGTATAGAAGGGAACATCTGTGATCATAATCATAGTGTTGACTTACAAAGATGATAACACAAATTACGTTCTGTTAAATGAAGTTTTTGTCATAGGACAAGTCATTCATTATGCTGCATCGTGAATTGCCTCCTCCCCCGTTGTCTAGACCCAGAAGACTAAGCAAAAGCCAAACTTTCTTGCTTTTGCGTGTACCGATCAGGTAACGACATTTTATGAGAGAAGTGCTGGCTTGTTAACATTTGCCGTAATTAATCAGGCGGCATTTCAGTAGGGGAAATCGGGCTGCTGCACGGTAGAGCCGTCAGGCAGAAGGAGAGGCTTCAAAGACGAGCTCTGCCGGCAGGAGCCCGACCGCGCGCGGCTTTCGCACATTTATTTCTGCTCTCAGATCCCGGCAGAGGCGACGGCCGGGGCCCATTCCTGACCTCCCGTAATTGATAGGCTCTAGGCGCTCCTGCAAGGTCAGGACGCACTCGTGTTGGGATGGATGGATGTGCTTAACCTTGTCTTTAATGCAAAATCCCGCAGACACGTGGCTCACTCATCAGTGGGCTAGCCAGTCCATGTCAGACACTGCCGCTGTTTGAAATCTTGCAGCTCTTCATGCCTAAATTTGCTAGGGTGAAGATTTTCTTCTTACCTTTTGTGCTAGGTGGGGTTGGGTGCTGGGAAGGAAGGATCCCCTTGGTGATCAACCTGCATCGCTTTTGGTACGGGGGCTTTCTGGCTGTGTTGCATGGTGGAGGAATGAATATATATATATATATACACATATACATATGTATATACACATATAGAAGTAATTAGTAGTTTTGTGAGCATTTTTCCTTTGCAGACACAGGTTGACCATGGCAGCAGCAGAGGAAGGCTGCTTTCCTCTTTGCAAACACAGTCTACGTTTGCGTTGGAAGTGCCTCAAGCACATCTCACTCGCTAACAAGTTTGCAAGATTTTTTGTAGTACAAATATCTGGCATAAAGACTTGTTTCTTATCAAGCTATTAGCACCACTTGTGTGTGCAGTTGATATACCGATGTTAATAGAAGCAATGGGCAACAAATACAAATAAAGAGCCAGCCAATTTAGCCCTTCTGTACTCAAGAAGACAAAATACAGCTGAGCAACCTTGGAGAGCATTAGGCTATTTTAATCAGGGGCGCCCTTGAGCTGTCCTATCTATTTCATTTTTAGTTTCCTGAAGAGCTGCACTTCCCAAGGTGAAATTTTGTCTTGAAGAAATACTGACTTGTGACGCTGGAGGAAGATGTGCCAGTGTACGCGGCAGAAACTAATTCTGCAGCAGCAAACAGGGAGGATTTTTATCATTTATCCTGGATATCTTCCAAGAATCCTCTCTCCAGCTCAGTTATTAGCTTTCCCCACAGTGTGGAATATTCAATTAAGCCTTCTCTCAAATTGGCCATAACTTTCAATGAAAATTAAAGCAGTTCTATTTAGCTAACGATATCCATCACAGGGGCTGATGTTCGGCAGGAACAGGAGCCGTTTCACCTGCCCGTCGGAATTAACCTTGGCTGAGGCTGTGCATGTTGGTGTCATGGTGCTGGGGGTGCAGCATGTGCACTCACCATTTGGACCACACTGAAATTATTTTATCATAAATGTTGCAGTATCAGGAGAAGCTGGAATAGAAGAGGGTTCTTCTCAACAATCTACTATCACGGTGTAATACACCGCATACTGCACTGAAATGCGCTGAAATCTACTGAAATTTCCTGGGAAATCTTCGGGAAAGAAATGCACATCTCTAGGGAGGCTGAACCTGAGCAATAAAGAGTTGGTTTCAAGTGACAGGGGGTAAAAGCTCCTTCTAGGAAGCAGTCTCGCTTGCAGTTTGTCCTAAGCTCAGGGCAGCAAAACGTTTGCACTGGGTCCACTGGTCTCCTCCATGAGCTCGAGGAATGAAACTTTGGGAAATCCCATCACCAAGTGAGTATCCCACCATTAGCTTGTCTGAAAGCGAGTGGTGAATGCAGTGCAGAGAGGGCAAGCGGAGAGCCCTCGGACTATGGGAGAGGCTGTGGATGGCACTGCCAGATTGTGAATAGCGTTCGGTGAGAATAAGCAAAAATGTGTTGTTGCTGCTCCATGGTTGCAACTCCTGAGCATTATTGCAAGAGAAAGGAAGCTCCTGCTTTTATAAAAAATGCTTACAGTTCATGGTTAGAAGTTGTCGGGATAGCAAAAGTTTGTTCTCACAAAACCAGACTCTGGGATATAGCAAAAAGCATTTGGTGATGCTGAGTGAAACATGTTAGATCTGTTTTATACCCCACAGCATTGTAAATTAGTTGAAAGCACACTATTTATGGTGCAGATACTTTAAGTTTCTGCAAGAAGCTAGTTGACAATTTATTTATTACTGAATATACATTTGCTGTTCTTTGGATCAAATTCTCGTGTGCTACAAAGTACTGTGGTTCTGCTTCTGTCGCACACTGTTAGGTGGGACCTGGTCTGCAGTGATTTCAATCACGCATCAGGCTGTAGCAACAGGACTCTACAGGCTGAAGATTAAATAGTTTCAACTTGCTTATCTTGGTTACACACAGGCAGCAATAACAGAAAGAAGAAAGAACAGGCACTCCAAGTAATTTTATCTGCACCCTGTTGCAGGGTTTGTTCCTCTTCTGTTCCCCTCGCTGCTGGCGGCTGCTCTCAGAGTTTATCCCTATCAACTAATGCCGGTTTCTGGAGCGCTAAGTGCTGGTCTTAGAATTTTTTTTTTTTTTAACTTGTTAACCAGTGGAAGAGGGAAGAAGTCATTGTTCATTAGCATTATTATTATTACTATTATTTTTCTATTTTTTTCTGTATCAGCAAGTTGCACATAGGTATAAGTTAAAGATAGAGATTATGCAAAATGCATTTGGAAGAATAGATATGTCAGGGTCACATATCAGTAACATATCCTTAAGAATAAGCCCAAGTGATGGGGCTGTGTGCTTGGGGTGCTCCCTTTTGGGGGAACCCCCTAGGACAGCTTTTTCAGTCTGAGGAAAAAATTGCCTTGGGATTCCTGCAAAGAGGGGCTTTGGTCAAGTTTTGGTGCTTCCCAGCGTCGTGGGGCTCAGAAACAGCATCTGCTCAGGCTGCCTCTTGCTGTGGAGACCCTGCTGCCTCGGTGCTATGCTCAGCCTGGGGAGATGTCAAAGATGACAGGAGATGAAGAATTAAATTTAAATTTTCTTTTTAAGTCTTTCCAGTTTCAGGTGAATTTTTATTGTTTTTTTTATTATTGTAATTTTCATCAAACCAATCTACCTTTTCCATTAAGCGACGCTTACCTTTAGTCCCAGGCATAACGAAGGAGAAATTGCAGGTCTGGTACACAAGAAAAAGAAATATTTGCTATTGCCAGCTACAAACTCTGTAAAACGGCTACGTGTGGTGCATGATCTGAAGTGCTACTGCTCTGCTCAGGCTCGCGGCTGCCCCGGGGTTTCGCTTCGGCGGGGGATGTCGGGGCCACAGTAGTGGAGGGGTTTTGCAGGAGCTGTAAATGCCAGCGGACTTCCTGCTTGTGTTATTGCTCCATTGTATTTAATAAGGACTTTTTAACTTACAGAGATAATATTCCAATTTGTGAAGGTAAAACTAAGCATTCTGATTTTAACTGAGCTGTATTAGGAGAACAGGGTCATGCCTGTTCCCATTCATTTGAGTCTGATGTAAAATTTAAATCCATGCTCTACTGAGTGAACAAACTTTTTAGTGAATTTTGCACTCATGGGGGTTCAATGGCTTTTGAAAAATCAGTTGTCTTTTTAAAGAAAAGTGCAGTTATCACATCTTTTCCGGGGTGAATAATATATAGCCTCTTTCTTTAAATTTTTTGCAACTAATATATGGGGCTTCCATCAATAAGTGTTGTGATTTTCCTCCCTTTGCCATAGATGACAACATGCCGCACGGGCCCGTATTCCTTCAGGAGCCGACCAGTGTGATCTTTCCCTTGGATTCCGAGGAGAAGAAAGTGAAGTTGAACTGTGAAGTCAAAGGAAATCCCAGACCAACCATCGGGTTTGTTAACTACTTAGCTGTTCTTTAGTGTTGTACGCCCCCCAAAAAGGCATGGAGAGACCACCACGTATTGAAACACCCTCACAAGATTTTGACCAAAGTTTAAAAGGTTTATGGGTGGACTATACATAGTCCTAGAGGTTTATTTGCTCCCACCCCTCTCTAACCCACAGGTCTCACTGGGAGGAAAGCAGCAGGAGGGAAGGCAAAGGCAGCCCCGGCTTAGCAAGGCAGAGAGGCTGCACGTGGAGCAGGAAAGGGTTGGCAGGCAGGGAAGACACTGAGGGTGAGCACTCAGTTATCAGCACGTGCCCTTTTGGCCTGCTTGGTTTTTGGCATAGCTAAAATTGCAGTGCCACCATGATCTTGGTATATCTGCCATCCATGCCACCCTCTGCCTGGCTTGCACCAAGGTTTCTCCATGCAGGAGTGTTCCCTTCCTTCGTGTGCCCCAGGGACTTTTCCACACATAGTCCTTGGACCACCAAAGTCTGCTAAGCTCTCCCCCTTTAACTACCCTTTCCATAAATTGGGACAAAGCTCTCAACTGTGTTCAGCTTTATAAAGTGCTTTGAGATCCTTGAATAAAAAGATACGACGTTGTTGTGCTGCTACTGCTGTTACAAACATCCATCCTAGCTGATGTAAATAATTTAGACTGATTTTTTTTTTAATTCTGTGCATTTCTCATTTTGTTCACCAAAGTAAATAACACTTTGAAACAGATTAGACTCATGCAACCTCAACCCTTGTGCTGTCTTCTGACACTCCTTTATTTAATGCAGTAGACTGTTGATTCATTCATTCATGCAAACATATTCAAATATTTTCTCTGTACTTTCTGATAAAGGGAACTGATCTGAGGCTGCAGCTCCCTTGCATGCTCCAGCGAGGGCTGGTAGGGATAACAGTTGCTGTAATTGGGGCAATGTGGTGTTAGAAACCCTCAGTGCTCCAGTTTGTGAAAACATCTGCTGTGAATTTTCTTAAATTTAAAAACAAACAGACGGCTAAGACAGGAGAGAAAAAGAAGCCACTATGGACTTGAATGGTTTAAAGATTCTGTTTCTGGGACTTCCCCATGCAAAATGATTAATTTCAAAGACCAACAGCACTAGCAATAACAATACAAGCATTAATCATATCAGAGACTGAAATATATGTCAAGGATATTGCTCTTTCAGTGAAACAGTAGAATATTTCCATTCTGTGAAGGAAGCATGCATTTTCATAGTGAGTTATGAATAAGAAGCCAAAGGTATTTTAGTTTCTTTTTATTTACTTCATGTTATGTTTTGAAATATGCAAGAGTATTCATTAATATTAGTAGAATATAACTGTGGTGTTTTGTGCTGTAGGTGGAAGTTAAATGGCACCGGTATTGACATCGGTATGGATTACCGCTACAGCGTGGTGGAAGGCAACCTGTTGATCAATAACCCCAATAAAACCCAAGACACTGGAACGTACCAATGTGTAGCAACAAACCCCTTCGGAACAATCGTTAGCAGAGAAGCAAAGCTTCAGTTTGCCTGTGAGTAACCGCATCTCCGCCTCCTTACAGCCTGCTAGGAAGGCTGGAGGAGCAGTGTGATGTAACAGCAATTAGAAAACTATTGCAGTTTGTTACATATTATTCTCTGAGCTGTTTGTGTTGTTGAGAAAACATCTTGATTTACAGGGCAAATTTGAATGAGAAAAATATGTCTTGTTTTGATTATTTAGCTAAAATGATGCAGAGTGTTCAGTGCAAATATGTCTCTTTCTCAAGAGAGAGATCTCCTGGGAAAAGTACCTGGCAAACAGGATCTCACCTGTGATGTTTTCCTTCCTTTGAGAATTAAAGCTTCAATGTGTTTGAAGCTACACGCTCTCTATAATGAGCAAGTCCACAGTGACAGTTTTCCTAACTCCCAAGTTCTGTTGTTTAGGTAGAAGTGCAATCAGGTATGGATGACATTTTGTAACTCCAGGTGTAAAAGGGAAATTAGTAGCTGCTTTGTGCTTACATTGGGGTAAGCTCAGAAATGCAACTTCTTCATCAGATAAAGAGAACAAAATATATCATTGTGGATGTGAATCAGCAGTATATGACATTAGGATAAGCTGTTGTCCATCGTGTTTGTGACTGTTCTGTGGTGTTACCCTGGAAGGGTGTATGTAGTAATTACAGTAGGATGTGCTCTGAGATGCCTTTGCATGCAGGGACAGGAGTTCAAGGAGCACAGTTCCTAAACACGTACAGGCTGCCAAGAAATGGGTAGCTAGGCTTTCTGTAGAGTTTAATGAAAAATGTTTTTGTCTGACTACCTGGTAAGAAGAGCTTATGTGCTCCAGCTACAAAAATATAAAGGTAAAGATGCCAATAAATGCCAAGTTCACACAGTTCAGGAAGGTGATTTGTAATGAGAAATATTACTGTGAGCGAAGTCAAGTCCTCCGTCTCCCAGAGTAGTTTACAATATATTATCAGTTTGCTTATGACCTGCTTGTGTTTTTCCGTGACTGAAGATGCATTTTCACTGTAGATGGGTAATGAACAGCTTCCTCAAGACCCATCTAATAACTCCAGATTTCAGTATGTCAAGGCAATTGCTTCATAAATATTGCTTTATTCTGCTTCTTCTCTGAAGATCACCTGTATCTCAGCAAGCCCAATCTTACAAATCATGGCCTTCTGTGATCTATCAGGTTAAGCCTTGGAAGCATCATTATTCATCGCTAAGTGTTTCAACACTGCTTTTGCTGTGGTCAAACTATTTACAAAAGTCAGTCGTTTAAGGACAGGTTTGATACCAGGCACTGGTAGCCAGCTTAAAAATTCAGATATGAAAGTAGAAGGGAAAATGCTGATGCTACCAAATTCAGCTGCCACTGACCACCTGAGGGGAGATAAATCAGCTTCTTTGCATGTTTAAATCATTATTTATTAGTTACCCGGTACCCTGCAAACACAGAGAATTCTATTTTAAAAAAATAAGAAGACAATAGCCAAATTTCACACTTCATCTTTGCTACAAATGCAGAATGTTTATTCCATTCTGAATCTCTCTTCTATCTTAATAAATAATACATCTGGCAATAACTTTGCAAGTTTTGTAGTTGACCAAATAGAAGTTTCATTTAAATCATTCTTCGTTAAGAGGACTGAATTCAAAAATGAAGTAGGGGGGTCAGTTAATGATGAATGGAATAAATTTATTATTTTAGGTTATTAAAATTTAGATTAGGGAAACTGCATAATCAGATTAGAGACATTAGGATAAATGAAAAGGCATTTAGCATTTATCAAGCTCGGCTCTGGGCTTCCACCAACCAGTTAAGTCATTGGAAGTTGTGTAATCAAAGGGATTGCCAGCGAAATTAGCTGGGGGGATGGAGGGAAATGCAGCTTGGTTTATGTTTATTGCACAAGTCTTGTCTCCAGGACCCAATAAAAACGTGTATCTGTACTAGTAATAATTGTTTATCAACCTTTCATCCTGGACCTTGAGATGAAGCAGCACTATGTGTTAGAATCACTTGCCCATTAATGCTTTTATTTGCAGTGTTGCCCGTTTTGGGTGGGTTGTGTGTGAGTGACCCGGATGGATGCCTGGGATTTGGAAATCTGGGATCCTACCAATCCTGCCCAGCCTCGCTGCCTTTCTCTGGCTTGTTTGCATCTGCGGCCGAGTTGGGACTGTGTCACCTCCTTGATTTGTGTGTCACCCCCATCCTCTTTACATGGCCAAGCCTTTGCTTCAGCCTGTGCTTGGTCACTGTCTCTTTTTTGTTCATGGGCAAAGTAATTACTGCCCATTCCTGGCAGACTGCTTTTGGGAGGCCTGCTTTGATGCCTGCTTTTGGGAGGCTTCGTTTCTCCCAGAGTTAAGCTCTGAATCCTGGGGCATCACTAAAATGTGCCTGCTCTTCCTGGGAGAGCTGTGTGATTCTCCTCTAGCTAGTCTTTCACTGCAGATTAAACTGTGGCGTAGCTTGAGGTCGGGGAGGTCGGCAAATTTAATCCCTGAAATATGTATTTAGGTTACAAACTCATTATGGCAAAAGTGCTAATATTTCCCTGCAGTATGTGCTTTGCAGCAAGTCGTTGACGTTCAGACTTTCCTTTCTTTTTTTGGCAATGCCAGGGGTCTCTGAAATCTATTTTCAGAAAGTGGGGGAACTTTGTGCACAAGTTGAATTACACATAGATGTTATTGGATACGTAGGTCCATGGTTTCCTGCTGTTTAGTCCGTGATGTGATGCCGCTTGAGTTGCTCAGCATCGAGCTCCTAGTGGATGCCGGGGATGGAGCACATCCCTCTGTTAAAATTTGCTGTTGAATTGTTAAAATCATTTATAGAAATGCTGACTTTTTCCTTTCCCCCTTAATCCCCTCATTTCGTTTTCCTTTTTCCTTTTTTTTTTCCACTATGGGCATATTTTTAACTGCGGGGAATCAAACTATTGTTTCAGCAAGCTGTTTCTCCCACACTCTGGGAGGAATTTGTTTTATAGAAATGTGTCTGCAGAAATAATTGTTATGCATGAATTAGCAGATAGAACTCAGCACTGTGCAGTGCAAATGGCAGCAGAAAATACAATAATAATGTGCTGGTAATGAGAATACTTTGGGGCTTTGACCTACCATCCCAGAATAATTTCACTATGATGGTAGGAAAAGAAAATTACTCCCAACATTATACTGAAAAGGATTTTTTTTCGATATTCCCATTGCTAGAGTGATTCCTCCTATATCTTGTACCAGAGCAAATCCCATAATTTTTGCTATTAGTTGCTAAGAAACAAATTATAATTGCTGCTCAGATTCCTTACTGTTGTACCTCTTATTGCCCTGAAGTGCATTCATTTTCTTTGTGGAGATTAAATGATCAGTGAAGTAATTCTTTCAAAAACAATTAACAGTGAAAACATTTTCAGAAACCCACCAAAGGAGCTGCCTCTTCCCGACGAAACAAACCGGCGCACCAACGGGCGCACCGATTGATTGGTGAAGTGATGCCGCTCTTTTAAGCTGAATGCAACATTTGAGACACAAATTAAATCATTTCCACAGTGATTGCTAGTGCCAGGGTGCTCGGGAAAGATGAAGGAAAGTGAAAAATCCGTTTTCCCGCAGAAAGAGAGGAAGTCTCTGCTAAGAGGGATGCCAAGGGCTCGTTACTCCACGTTTGGTTCAAGCTTGTCCCTTCCTGCTAAGCACAAACAGAGTCCCTGTTTCCCCAGCTAGGAAAAACAGCATTTCTATCCACAGACAGCCCAAAAGTCTTACCCAAAATCAGGCATTCTTTCTGTTTGGTCTCACAGCAATTGGGTTTGACATGATACAAGGTCTATTCTTTAATAGAGAACAACCTAATTTATTGGATTTTCTTTTTTTAATACCTGCAGGTAATTCCCAATGTTTCTCTCCTTTGCTATATATCCCTGGTCTGTTCAGCATGTGGTTTTCACCACTGAGGAAGCAGCTCCCAACCCTGCCCCTCTGCCACGGTCTCTCCTGGCTGGAAAACTAGGTTAAGTCGCATGCAGCCTTTTCTTCTTTTTTCCTTTTCTTTGATGAGTAAGACCGATGGGGAGTGTGCACCAGCAGACAGATGTATAACCTAGTTCCTTCTGTGATGGAATGGACCCGAACTTACAAAGAGCAGCGATGTAGGATTTATACCGGGCGTGTTTCCACGCCAGAGTTATAAATAAAGTGTACAGATTATTACTTAAACCATCGCAGGGTATTTGTTAATAATCAGTGCCCAGGCAAGAGTCTTGCAAGTCTCTTATTTGTAGGATTTTTAGGATGCCCTCAGGCCAGGCAACCCCGTCCCAGCGGGTGGCTGTCATCAGTGTCCCCCCTGCGCCGCAGTGAGCTGCTGCCTCCACTGCCTTTGAACTCCTGGATTCAGCTAACAGGAGTGCGCACCTGATATTGCTGCCCTGTCTCTATCCATATTCAATAATTTTGCCTTTAATATGCAAAATAAGTGATAGCATACAGTGACAGTGTATTCTTTGGGGATAAGCAGGCTCTTCAAGAGCAGAGCAGAGCTGCGTGCGGTGCTGGCGGGGCTAGGCAAGCAGCCCTGGGTGCCCGCCCTGCATGCCAGTGTGGAAACACCTCCAATTTTAGACATTTTTGCCATAGCAGCCCTTTTGCTGGGCTGCAGGAGAACATCTGGCAAGGGGCGGAGACACTGTTCACCGTCCTTTAATTAATAATAGCCATTCTAGCTATAGTAATTGCCATAACCTTTAGTGCAACCAGCCAGGACAGAAACTCTGGAAAAGAACCAAACTGTGGCAAGGGGTTATGAAAAGCTCGGGTTGAGGTCAGAATAATATAAAGGTTTCCCCCTTTTTTTCCTGTTGTTTCTGAATGATACACTAAATGTTTGGGTTCTAATCTCAGAAATTTGGGACAATTTCACTTTAAAAATAGAATAGATATCTGTATATTTAAAGACCTTTTGATACAAGGCTTAATCAGTCATTCCAACTTTTTCTCTGTTTAAGTTAATACTGCTTAATACTAC